ACTTAGAACGTTTCAACTTTCTTTTATTTTTCAACATCAAAGTAACAGCAAGACCGATTAAAAATGGCATCGTCTTCACTGAACATTTTGTAGCACCGACTGAAGAATAAAAAGACTGAGCACAAACCTGACACAAAGTCTGTACGTGTGTGGTGGACTCTCAGAGGTTTGAGGCTTACCTTCCGACTTTAACTTGGAAGGCAGGCCTTCCGGCAAGCCGGAGCGTGTGTGGCCACCCTAAAGCTATACACATCAGAACACATGAAAGCCTGTTGTCTGTTGTTCGTTCAGCGGTTGTGGAACGAATGCTTTTAGGATGGTAGCGCATTACTCACCGCGAAATGTTGCGCATGCGCGTATATCGCATTACTATCATGGCTTTTCTCCTGATCTGTGGACTGTACTACATTTCGCAACGATTTATCGTCTTTCTTACGTGCATTCCATTTCTCCCCCATCCGCTCCGTTGTGCGACTCGACTTATAACTGCATCGCGTTTCCTCTGATTCCACTCCCTTGCTTACTGCATCCCAGTGCCATTCTGATCAATTCTTGCATACACTTCTAATAGGTTATCTACATTTGGACCTGCGTTAATCATTGATTCTTAAGACACAAAATTCATCGAGGTTTCACAGCTAATCTTATTTCCACTTAAATGTTGATGACTTGCTAAGGTGACCTGGTTCCTAAACGTTTCGGAAAACCTGACTGTTTCCAACTTCAATGCGCATGACACATAACCAAACAGATCTCTAATTCGGATACTGAACAATTCAGGGTTAAAAGGCACTGGAGACTTTCTCTTTGTTAGATTCGCCTAAACGTCCGTTAGGCAGATTACAGCAATATGGTGTCATCACCCAAGAATTTAAATTGATTCTCAGATTATTTAAGGACGCTGTTGCAACTGCACAGATTGTGCAGTGTCTTGGACTGTGCATGGAAGCATCCGAATATCTTCTTACTCTAATTTTAAATAACAAATTCATTAGGTCCTGGGATATTCAACGACACTGTTAAAAACTTAGAATGACAACAATGAGAGTGAATGTTAAGTAGTTAAGAATTCGTAATGTGGCCGTCGCGTCTATTCTGGAGATTCTAAGGAAATCATTTAGGACAGCCGATAACCAGGTAGAGATCTGAATTGTGTACCTTCCGAATACAATCTTGTACGTTATTTCTACGTCAGCCTGTTAAGTTGAACTTGTTAATATGGCTCCAAGCACAAATAAAATTTGTCATAGTATAGTCGATCAGATGCAATAAACCTTGTACGAGCTTGTATGTGCATCTTTACATCTTAGTCTGAGCTTGCGACGGCTAAGGTAAGTTAACTTTTAGTATACTTCGTTGTTTGTATGTGTTATCTAATATCCTTACGGTAGGTCTAGTGAAATTGAGGAGGCTGCGATATTTCGAGAACCAGCCATTTTGACTGACGTTATGAATTTAAATAGAACTTTGGTGTTGAACTTCTTTTGTAATGGGAATATGGACGAGAACATGTGAGGATAACATTAAGATAGGTACTTGTAAAATCGGAGTTAAGGGCAGATTATTTTGGCGGGATGCTTGCTAACAGTTAATTCGGAATAAATAAACCTAAATATTAAAATATACGGAGCTATAGGCCTAATTTTACCTGCTATATACGTGTGAAACCTAGAATTTCAACCTAAGTTGGAGAAAAAGTGTTTTTATGAGAATAGCTATTTGCAGCGCACGCACTGGGGAGACCATAGATTCATGCAAAATGTAACTCAGACATGCTGGAGGATAGATTTGACTTTGAACATTTAAGCTTACAACAGAGAATAAGATTAAAGTTTATCTTAAATAAACTATTCTTTAGGGTATAAACTGTATTAAATTGGCTAATGATTAGATGCAGTGGCACGTAATAAGGCTTTTGGTTCCATAAAAGACCTAAACATATTGTATGGAATTATTTTCCTATGAATAACGCGGCCGGAGCACAAAGCTCATGTCATGTGTGGTCTGGCTCTGCGTTTAATTAAGCACTACGCAATGAAGAGTGTAGAAGTGGAGGTACAGATCCATCATTTGTTAATCCACTCACCAGGTGAAGGAGTGACCCACATCCCGTCTGCATGTGGCAGCGAAAGTAGGAATCTAACTGAGCCTCTGAAACGCAGTGTATTCAAAATGAGGATTTACGAGTTCAACGTATTCTCGTCTGAAATGTCAAAGACTGCGTGGTAACGCTTTTTCTGACAAAATGTAGGTCGAAATAGCAGACACTGGTAAAGAGATCACAAAGTACCCATCGGAATTAAATCATAGTCACGTCTCTGCTCTGAGCTTACTCGCTTGCTCTTAGAGCCTTTATAGTGAAGTTTTCTTGTACACACACAGCTTTATTGCATTTACTGTAGGCGTCGCGTGAAATTGAATAGTTACATGCGGACGTTTATTGCGTTGCGGAGAATGTTACATGGATCATGAAGGACAACATAAGGTTATCACGTGACTTTTATCAGTCAGTTTTATCATAATTCAGACTCTGTTACTACTACACATAAGCAATATATACAGCCAAGAACCTCTAGTCTTACAGTAAAATTTCTGTTGTTCAGTCGCATAGTAATCATGTCAGGGAAAAGGTAAGCTAAAAACCCATACTTATAATTATATTTTATAGTGCATACAGAATCAATCACTGTTTTATGCGTCATATAGTAGTCACAGCAATTCAGTAACGTTTTATTTTAAGTTAATTTTCTTAATTGCCTTCATACCTGGAAAACATAAGAGTTTCTCTTCTTTCACAAAGGTCTGTGGAGTACAATACTCTGTAGAGAGCTTTGGTTTCGCGCTTATATTATTTTGAGCTAACTAATACGTGGAATATAGTCCTTTAGAAGCTTATAGTCTTTCAGATAGACAAGAGCGTGGCCTCATTTAAAGAAGCCCGAAAGCCATTTTCGATCTCACCGCCATGAAAAACTCGAATACTACCCTCAATCTGCTTCTTTTCCTCAGCGTCAATGACCAAGTTTCACACAAAACAAATTAGAAGGTTAACTCGTAATAGTTTTGTGTATTTTAATCTTTGCATTTTCTGCAGGAAATAGGAAGTAAAAATTATACACTGAATAGTAGCAAGCATTATCCGAATTTAATGTGCTTTTAAAGTATTCGTGGGAAAATCAAATTTGTGAACTTAAGTAAAGTTTTGAAGGTTTGATTACATTCCGGTGATTTTATATTATATATTTTATATATTATATTGTTGGAACATATACGAGGCGCAGTCAAAAAGTTCCCGGAATTGTGGTATAGCACTGTGATAGTAGGACATATGGCAATGCTTACCTAATCACCTTCAAAGTAGGACCCTTGCGCACACACACACTTGCTCCATCGATCCTGCTATCGTTGGAAGCACCGGCGGAAGGCTTCGTTTGGAATCTTCCGGAGTTCGGCCGTCGCATTCGATTTGATGTCCTCCATGGTTGCGAAACTCGCCCCCTTGAGGCCAATTTTCTGAGTAGGGAACAACCAGAAATCACTCGGAGCGAGATCCGGAGAGTATGGTGGTTGGGTGATGACGGTAATGCTTTTCTCGGCGAGGAATTGCTACACAACCAGCGAGGTGTTAACATCTGTAGACATATGGACCTGTCGCCAGACAGAACACTAAAAAAAGACAGAAATAGTTGGTTCTTTAAGGATCCCAAAATTTCTTCCTCCGGTAAAGGTTGTCAATGCCATTTTGTTTGAGTTCATATATATATATATATAAGCCTGTCTTATTGCGCCATTGTTTCCCTGTTGAACTTGGAATTGTTGTATGAATTTTCCCATTTGTAAGTATTTCAATATAAATTTGATATCCCGCATAAAGTTCGTCACCACCAGACTCTACTTCAGAGGTACAGAACACTTGCTCCAGGCCCTACGAATGTATCCATGTGCCAAATGTAATGTACATACGCAAGACACGTCATCATAATTACGGTAAAGGTGGGCCTAAAAACCTGTTCGGCCATATTTGACATTACATAGGCCGTCCTCCCGTCTTCCTCTCCTCCTCATTTGGCGTCCGATGTCAGCCTGTTGTAAATTATATCTTGTCCGTCTACAAGGCGTGAGTTCATTTATCCAATATGTTCATGACAATTCTTTTTCTGTCTGCGACCATCTCCCCTGTATTGGATATATATGTAACTCATTTCGAATGTTGAGATCCCTTGTTTTATCTTGTAAGGTGTGGCCAGAGACTTTTCTTGGAAGTTTAATTTCAGCCAATTAAATCCTCTTTTGCTTCCTTTATTGGGTGCCCAGTTCTCATACCCACAAACTCAGCAGGAGTGACCAGTACCTTGTAAAAAAATTTCTTCTGTTTTTCCTGATTTTGATAGTGAGAATTCGCTCTATGTTTTCTCACAGTAAAATAAAAGCAAAGCTGTCCCGCTATATGCCATGTAGGCGCTAAATGGAGAGAGGTGGTATAGCTCCGACTTAATCTTAACCTCGGCACTAAATAGGGGTTAGTGGTCAGCGTCACGCGCCGGCCACGCTTCACCCCCGAGGAAAGGGCCACCGGTACATATTGGATAGGAGGCTAGGTGGGCCCAAGAGACGATCTGAATGCAGAGGTCAGAAGAAAAATTATGTCAGGGATCGAACCTCAGTCGTCCAGTCCGTCGACAGTCGCTTTACTGACTAAACTATCCGAGCTCCACATATACGCTGAAATTTTAATAATTTGTTTTTCAAGTTTTAGTCACGGGCATAGGATATATCACAGCCCACATAGTTAAAGTGTTTACTTCACTGTATAGTCTGATTGTTTGTCACAAGTTTTAGACCTTATTGGATAATGTTTAGCAAATCCATAACTTCAATATTTTTATTGGGAAATCTTAATTATATTTTTGTGTTATATTACGTACTAGCTGCAATTTACTTTCGGTCTGTGGAAAAATGGCTTGGTCGTCTGCAAACATAGCGGTATTTAGGATCCATTTCCTTAATTTAAACCTCGTTCTTATCCGGCGCTTTCATTTTTCCAATGCAGCAATAAAAATATGAAAGACAACCGGTAACATAGGGCAACCTTAAATATTAATATTTTCGTATTGCCATTTTCTATGCCGTTGGGTGTATCTTTGTACAAAATCTTAAAACAATTAAGCGGTATGGGTAAAGCCTAGTAGCCATGCACCAGAATTAAAGGTACAATTTTATCTGTCCCTGCCGATTTAATTTAGGTGTTAATTGTCCATTTGATTATTTTATTGGCATATCATCCTTCTCTTCACCCCAACACCCAGACCACGTACAACCTCCTATTCAATGGGTACCGGGGATCCCTTCGCCTGGAATAAAGTGGCTGGTGCATGGAGCTATTCACCTCCATTTTCTGCCAAGGTTAAGAATACTTAATTACTTATTCTTTGGTTCCTCCATTTCTCTTCATGGCGTGATGCTTAGGTAAACAATAAGAACAGTTTTCCCTTCACCATAGTTTAATTTCTTTATCGTATGAGTACATTTTCTCTGCTCAATACGTTTGAAAGTAAATGGAAACTAGTGATGAGCGATAAACAGTGACCTGTGATTTTGTCACTGTGATCAGAAAATCACGATCACTGCAGTGATTAAAGTGCTCACTAAACAGTGATCACAGTGATTCTTAATTTCTTATGCACCCTAGCGAGAACACGGTACACTATTTTGACACCTCAGAGCATTTCAGAATCAGGTCACAGTGATGCTCAGTAATTTTTTATGCATCCTAGCGCATCCTACTGAGAAAACGGGACACTACAGTATTTTGACAGCTCAGTTCTTCTGTCTGTAAATATTAAATAAACAATTTCTATACATTTTGTTTCATTTAATACTTGAATGTTTTATAATGTATAGTAAATAAATTATATTGTCCATATCATCATACATGGAACATAATAATAATGCATTTGACTATACAAGTTGCTGTAGGCCTACCGGTACTGCTATATGTAAATAATATTATTATGCAATATCTATATAATATTTTGTTTATATCTTTGCCTCACAAATATTAACCCTCACTCACCCTTCCATTAATATTTCGCAAAGCGTGGTTATAACTTCATAATGATGCTTTACAGTTTTAAATAATTTATTTCAATTGCACACTCATAACTGCCTAACTACAAAATTGTGTTACATAATATATTATAGCCTAATTCATTTTTGTAAACCATGACTTCACGCAAGCAAATAAAAATAGATTAACAACGCAACAATGCAACATGTGGGAATCAAATTGAACCGTACGCCAGTGTGATGTGATCACGGCGATCACTATATAAGAACTTAAAACACAGGGGGGTATGTAAGATTTGAGGTTTTCGCAGCTGTGAGTATGAAGATTTCCGTCTTCTGGGTTGTTGCGGTGTGTAGTCTGGTTGATATTATCCAACGTTTCAGAGGTCATACTGCCTCCGTCATCAGGGCGGGTATATTTAGATGGTCTATTAAAACATTAGACTGTGATTGCGCTGTGATTTACGATCTAACTGCTCATCACCTCTTGAGCACTCATAGAGAATAGAACTTCCAGTTACTAGTTCTTTCGTTAAAATTTCAAATACAACTTACACATTCTGAATTTTCGACATGTTAATTTCTGTAATTTTAGTATTCATAACATCAGCTGTACTGTAATCACACGTTAAGAGAGCAGCAACAGACAGCCAATCATATTCGCAGTAGCATCATTGTGTACCACCACAGTCGATGTTACCAATCACAGCTGTGACAGAATGCTAAATGCATGCTCGCATCTCGATCACTGGTTAATCACAGTTTCACTGCGTAAGATCGCCGTGATTGAGAGTGAGCAATCACAGTCAAACCTGTGTTCACAGAAGAGCAGTTTAACTCATCACTACAATGAAAGTTGGTCACACCTTATTTCCTGAACCACAGGGATAAAATCTGTACGAGATAGCTATGTTGGTATTACCAGCGCCAGACAGTGTGTTGCAGTTGATATGATGGCGGCTGGCAAATTTAGTTGTGATTGTTATACCAGGTAGTACACATTGTCTTTAAAGTACGGTTACTGAAATAGTACTTGACTAAAAGAGATGTTCATTGTCATTGATTTTTTTCATTGCACATGGTAATTGAATTTCTCAAGTATATATAGAAACTTTGAACGTTACGAAGTTCAAATATTTTAATACAAGTTTTGCTTACAACCTCAACATCGATATAATTAAAATTTGACCGTCGATTGATGCTCACTTAAGAAACGTGAAGCAAATAGCGTGTTCTTTTACAGAAACACAAATAATGTAGTGCTGCTGAACAAAGGGAAATGTGTAATGTATATGTAGTAAGCTAAATTGGAAAACATTTAAAATATTATCACTAAACTACGTTCAGGATGTTTTTCTATCAGGATATTAGCTCCAGTCATGAAAATAGAAACTTAAAAACTAGTCTACGTTGCTTACTCTCATTCCATTATGTCATATGAAATAGTTCTGGGGAAATTCAACAGACAGGAAAAAAGTATTTTATGTTCAAAAGAAAATCATTAGAATAATGGCAGGCGTTAAAAGGAGAATCTCTTGTAGGGAATTATTTAAGAAGTTTAATA